TTTTCTGCTTTTATGTTGTGTCTAGTTTTGTCAGTGGGGTATTGAACTCCCTGGGGAGTATGATGCAACTGTTTATTTCTTTGCTTTGCTCTTATAGAATTTGCCTTATGAATCCACGAGCTCATGTGTTCAGTGAACATATAGTAGATTTGTTATATCTTCTTGATGAATTGCCCCTTGATCTTTATGTAATGAACATCTTTGTTTTTTTGATTTTTTTTGACAATCTGACTTAAAGGCAATTTTATCTGGTATGAGAATGGGTACACCAGTTGACTTTAGGTTTCCATTTGCAATGGATATTTTTTCTACCCCTTTACCTTGAGTCTGTACATTTCCTTGTGAGTGAGATGGGTGTCTTGGAGTCAACACATACTTTGACAATGACTTCTTATTCATTTAGCTAATCTATGTCTTTTAATGGGAGCATGAAGACCATTCACATTCAGTGTTAGTAATGATATCTATGGTAACGTTCTGTCCATCATGTTGAATGATACCTTTTTGTTTTGTTTTCCCTCTTGTGATATTGTTTTATAAGGGCTGTGAGCTTTGGCTGGGCACAGTGGCTCACGCCTGTAATTCTAGCACTCTGGGAGGCCGAGGCGGGTGGATCGCTCAAGGTCAGGAGTTTGAGAACAGCCTGAGCAAGAGCGAGACCCCGTCTCTACTCAAAATAGAAAGAAAATTAATTGGCCAACTAAAATAGATAGAAAAAAATTAACCGAGCATGGCGGCACATGCCTGTAGTCCCAGCTACTTGGGAGGCTGAGGCAGAAGGATCACTTGAGCCTAGGAGTTTGAGGTTGCTGTGAGCTAGGCTGATGTCACGGCACTCCAGCCGGGGCAATAGAGTGAGACTCTGTCTCAAAAGAAAAACAAGAGCTGTGAGCTTTAATTGTGGGGTGTTTTACATCGGAGGGTATCTATTGTGCTATTCCATATATAGTGCACTATTAAGCATTTCCTGTAGGCCAGGTCTAGTGGTGACAAATTCCCTTAGTGTTTCCTTGTCTAGAAAAACCTTTATTTCTCCATGACTTATGAAACTTAGTTTTGCAGCACACAGAATTCTTGGCTGGCTGTTGTTGTGTTGAAGAAGATTAAAAATGGGCCCTGGTCCCTTCTGGCTTACAAGGACTTGGCTAGGAACCTGTTGTTAGCCTGGTGGGCTTTCCTTTGTAGGTCAGTTGTTGCTTTCATCTTGCAGCTTGTGGAGTTTTCTCCTTCATTTTGACTTTGACCAGGTTGGTGGTCAAAGACTATGTCTTGGAGGTGTCCTCTTTGCTGCTGGTATGTAATGACAGATTGTATGTGGATATCTGCATCTCTGGTGATATCAAATATTGTGGCACATGGGTCTGTGGTGTCATGGCCCCCCACACGGTGCATGGGTACATGTTTTCATGGATGTATACATGGCTCACAGTGCCAGCAGCTTGCTCCTCTGGTCGGCATGGAAGCTCATGGTGCCTAGGACCTCCATGCAACACACAAGTTCCTGGGGGTGTGTACTTCAGCACCTGTGGCACATGACGTCAGGGAGCCTATTCTGCTGGTTGGTGCATGGGGCTGCATGGGCTGGGCTGCTAGATGGCTGGCTGGCTCTCCTCACACAGATTCTACTGGGGCTGCTCCTGTGGGACCTCTCAAGTGGCAACATCACCCACTCTATTCAAGTGGGTAGTATGCTTGGCTCTCAGTCACAGGCATGCAAGGGCTTTTGCTCTCCCTGCTCCCTCCCAGGATCAGCAAGGGATGCTGCAGGGGCATCCGCAACAAAGCTGATCCATGTGTAGATTGGGCTTTCTGGACCTGAGAGCTTAAAGTGGTTTCAGCTGTGGCAACCTGGGAACAGAGGCCAGCAGGTCATTGCTGAGCTTGCTCTCTGTTGCAACTTTACAATACAGTTTCCAGCTAGTTTCCTGATCAAAATGGAGGTTGTGCTAGGGCCCCCCATGATGGTGCTAGGGCCCCCCACCAGCTCAAGTCACAGTGTCCATGCACACAGGGTGTGGTTCTGGGGTTCTCTCCTCTTCCTTCCCCATGTGTACATATGCCCTCACGGTACCTTCAGATCTTGGCAAGTGGATCTCCCCATCCCCATCTCCTTCGCTCTGAGCGTCTCCCATACCTTCTCTGATGATTGATAATGCTCTCTCCAGCAGTGTCCATGGGTAGGTGGGTATCTACTTGCAGTGTTCTATCCTCTATTTGAAAGTAGCATGTCCGGGCTTCTACTAGTTCACTATCTATGCCCTGTGTCCTGTCTCATAGAATTCTATACACAGAAAAATATCTTTCAGAAATGAATTGGAAATAAAAATGCTTTCAGGCATACAAAAGCAGAGAGACTTGATCATCAATAGATTTGCAGTGTAAAAAATGTTAAAGGAATCTTTCAACCAGAAATAAAATGATACCAGTTGAAAATACATTATAGCTTTAGTCCCCAATCCCTATACCATGGCCTGCTATCAGTCTGTGTCCTGTCAGGAACCAGGCCACATATCACTGCCTGAGCTCTTCCTCCCCCCCCAGCCCCAGCTGTGGAAATATTGTCCCTGGTGCCAAAATTGTTGGGCACAATTTTTTGCCTGTGCAAAGGGGTGAAGACAAGCAGAAATTATAACTATGTAGATAAGTACATATTTTTTCTTATATTTAAAATATGTATCTTAGACAGTTGTTTAAACAAAAATGAAGCTGGGCATGGTGGCATGTGCCTATAGTCCTGCTCTCAGGAGGCCTAGGTGGGAAGATGGCTTGAGCCCAGTAGTTCTAGGCCGGCTTGAGCAACATAGTAAGACCCTGTCACAAAAAGAGAAAAAGAAACCAAAATAAAGAAACACAAAACTAAACAGCAAATATAATAATGTACTGGGGACTTGGTAACATGGAGAAGTGAAATATATGACAATAGCTCAAAGTATGGTTATAGTGCAAACATAGTAATTCTTACTGTGCATAAGATAGTATACTATCCTTTGAAGGTTGACTGGGACAAGTTAAAGATGTGTGCTCTCAACTCTACCAAGCACTGAAACAATAATGTGTTGTAGCTAATAAGCCAATAAAGAATATAAAGTGGAATTATTAAAAATATTTGATTAATTTTGAAGAAAGACTGAAAGAAAGGAGAAAGGGAACAAAGAATTGAGACTAATCGAGAACAAATAGTAAGATGGTAGACTTTTTTTTAGCGTATTATGGGGGTACAAGTGTTAAGGTTACATATGTTGCCCATGCTCCCCTCCCCCCTGGAGTAAGAGCTTCAAGCGTGTCCATCCTCCAAACGTTGCACATCTCACTCATTGTGTTCAACATCTCTAATCATCAGGGAAATGCAAATCAAAACCACAATGAGATATGACTTAACTCCAGTAAGAATGGCCTTTATCAAAAAGTCCCCAAACAACAAATGCTGGCATAGATGAGGAGAGAGAGGAATACTCCTACACTGCTGGTGGGACTGCAAACTAGTTGAACCTTTGTGGAAAGATGGTAGACTCAACCACATAAACCATCACGTTAGAGATCAATGACCTAAACATCCCAATTAAAAGGCAGAGATTGTCAAAAGGATAAAAAAGCAAGACCCATGTGTCTGCTACCTTTAGGAAATGCACTTGAAAGATCAAGCAACAAATAGGTGAAAAGTAAAAGGAGAGAAAAAGATATACTGTGCTAACACTTCTCAACCAAAAGGCTGTATTGGCTATATTCATATCAGAAAAAGTAGATTTCAGAGCAAAACTGTGTTCAGGGCTAAAGACGGTCATCTCATAACCACACAGGGGTCAATTTACCAAGAGCACATAAGAGTTCTAATGATTTTGTACCTAATAGCAGAGCCCCAAAATACATAAGGCAAAAACTTATAGAACTGTAAGAAGAAATAGACAAATTCATAATTGCACTCAGAGATTTCAACATGCCTCTTTCAATAACTGATAGAATAGCTATACCACCAGTAGACATATGAAAGATTTAAACAATGCTATAAAACAATTTGACCTGATTGGCCTACACATCAGAAAGGAAGCAGTACAACTGTCTTTATTTTCAGTCAGCATGATCAACTATTTAAAAATATGAAATACTAGGGAATAAATATGAATATAGGCACATAAAACCTGTATCCTGGAAACTACACATCATTGCTGTGAGACATTAAGAAAGGCCTAAGAAAATGGGAATATTTGAGATTCCAGTACACATCTATTAGAATGAATGGGAACACCGCTTTGGAAAACAGTTTGGCGGTTTGGTAAAACACAAGGGACAGGTCTATATTGACAGAAAACAGAGCCCTGGTGGCCTGGGGTAGCGCAGGAAAGGAGGGATTACACAAAGGAAGGTCCAACTTTTGGGGATGATGGAAATGTTCATTCTTTTAATTGTGGTGACAGTTTTACAGGTGTATACATTTGTCAAAATTCCTCAAATTGTACATTTAGTATGTGCAGTTTATGATATGTCAATTATCCTTCGACAAAGCTGTTTTTTAAAGAAATCAAAGGGCATGTGCTCACATGTGGAATCTGAGAGTGTTTCCTCACACCAGTGGTAAGAATAAGCTACAAAATGGAAGAATCCAGAAGGCAGAAGGGAGCTTTTCAGGTTTTTAGATGTAGTCTTCAGAAATTTGAATGTCAGAGAACAATAGAACCGGTTCTTGCTTTGGCCATGGTTATGTCATCCTGTTTCTTTGAATTCAGCCAACAGTTGCAGTGTGGAATTGCCCTGGCAGTTTCTGTAGAATGATGGGGTTATTTGAAAATCAGTCTAGCTTGCTGGGTGAGGCGAAAGGACAGGTTCTGGCTGCATTGAGCTGTGGAAGAATTGGGCCCTGAGCCTGCCTTGAAAAGGTCTAAGAGGGCCATGTGCAATGACTATGGCTTGGCTCCTCCTTAAAGAGAAGATGTGAGGAAAGAGTATTTCCCCTGAGGCTGTTGAAGGGTCAGGAAGCCTAAACCTGACTGTCCTTCCTCACACAGTGTCTCTGCGGCGTCCTGAAAGCCCTGTACCGCAGCAAACACGGAGGTCGCAAGGTACAATCCTGGGCAGAGGAGCTGGCAGGCATCCTCCTGAAGCAGGTGAGTGCCGCGGCAGTAGAGCCATCCTGGACTCCCCTTTCTCTCTGCTTTGGAGGGGATGGCTTCCCCCGACCAGGGCGCCACTGCACACAGCACAGGTGTCTTTCATGTGGGGATCTCAGCCTTACACACCTCAGGCTTCCCCGGAACAGTGACATGCCTGGATTCTTGACACACAGTGGGATCTTTCCCATGAGGACAGTTGGACACATCTGTATGATTCCTGGGGTGAAGGGCCTTTGTTGGTCCCCCTGATCTCTGGGAAAAAGCCAGAAGCTCGAGCCTCTCCATCTGCCTGTGGGAAATGTGCAGACTTCTCTGTTATGGAGTAGGAAGAGGACCATTGGTGTTTAGCAAAAGGGTGATACTTTCCTAGTATTTAATTTTATGGCCACTGTCTGTCTCCCTATGGGGAGGGGACTGTGGATTGCTCGGTTACATTTTCCTGTTTTCCTTATAGCCAAGCACCATGTCTTTCTTGGCTTCATGCCTCAGTTTCCTCAGCTATGCCCAGGGTCCCTGGTTTTAGTCTGAAGGCCTTGTTCTCCCTACAGATGAGTGACAAAGAGAGCCAGCCACCAGCTCTTTGTGATGAGACCGAAACATTATCCCTGAGGGCATTTAACCTGTTGAGTAAGTCAACACCTTTCCCTAGCCCCAGGTGTGTGTGTGTGTGTGTGTGTGTGTCTGCATGCACTTGTGTATGAGTATTTTTGTGTACTCAGGACCGTTTTGCCTCTTCCAAGACTGGAATGGGGCCAAAGTCTTCCTGGGGGCTTCCATCCTTTTAGATAAGAGGCAAAGGAGTTCCTGAGAGCTCTGTGTGAAATGAAATGGATCTGAAAGGGCACAGGCATTGGCCCCCCACTCCTTTGGTTTCCAATCACATAGCCTGGGACTGACTTCCCTTTCTTCTGTGGGGACCTGCAGCTCAGAATAAAGTCAAATAATGTCACTTCAGCACTGATGAGTACAGTGTGCTGGCCTAGGGCAGGGAATGCAGGGGGCAGGAGAGGGCCAAGGTCTGGCTCAGGGAGAGCGTCTGGCACACGGTGATGCGGACAGACACTGGTTCTCTACCTTCCTCCTTCCTTTCTCCATCCTGATGGCCCCTTATTTATCCAGCCATGGCCTTAGTGGTTTCTGGGAGCATGATTTCCTCCTACTTATTCCCTGCCACACACACTTCTACAAGTCTCTTGTCTTCACACCCTCTGGATAGGCCACTTATGCCTGGACACCACAGTCCATGTTCTGAAGAGGGCAATAACCGCAGAAGAGGAGCCCACAGTGCTGGCAGCACTTGAGGCCTTCAGGGAGGTGATCCATGGAGGTGAGTGGGATGGGGTGGAGGCCCTGGGTTCCAGGACTTGCTATTTCCTAGGAGATTTCTTTCTCTGGGCAACAGTCAAGTCTACTAGTTAAAAGCACTGTTTTAAACTCAAAGTGAACTCACTGGGTTCAAATCTTGGCTTTGCCTCTTACTAGCTGTGCAGCTTTGGGCAAACCCTTTTTGATTCTGTGCCTCTATGACTTCTTCTGAAAAATGGGGATAAAAATATTACCTCTCTTTAGGGGGTTTTAGTGAGGTTAAATGAACTGACAGTATGTGGTGTGCTTACAAGTGCCCTAGCCATGCAAGTGGTTATGGTAGTTTATCTATGACTATGGTCTGGAAGAATGGGCTCCACCTGCAGTCACCTGCTTATGTTAAACACTGTGTGTGCGGGCGACACAGTGCTGGGCACTGAGGCACACACATGAGGATGAATCCTTTCCCGCTGTCCATGAGCTCGCTGGTGGACAGGAAGGTGAGGCTGTTCATGCAGGGGAATGATGCCAGGCCACGTGCACTAAGTTGCTGAAACAGGTGCATGATGATGCTGGGCAGGAATGCAAGGAGGGATCCCTCAGGGGCTGGGATGGGCTCATGGAGGGGATGGACCAAAGGTAGGGGAAGGAATTGTCACCAAGGCTAGGAGAGGGAGCTCACAGTGAAGAAGAGCCTGTGCCAAGGTCTACAGGCTGAGACACAGAGGGCGGGAGCACAGCTTGGCTGCACAGGGGCATCTGTGAGGGCAGCCACGAGAGGCTAGCAAGGGTGGAGGCTCCAATACCAGCTTGATGAGAGGACTGCTTCAGGGCACTTTTCCATCTAGGCTGGTTGATCTCAGTGCAGTTGGCAGGCAGAGGGGTGGCAGAGACAGACACCATGAAGATGCCACCTGGCCCTGAAGACCGAGACTGTACCTGGAAGTCCTCCCACCTGTGTGCCTTATGTCACCTGAAGTAGCAGAGGAGGGGGGAGGAAGCTGACCTTTGGCTGCATGCCTGTGTTTTCTCTAGCACCACAAGCGGAAACGCTGAAGAGGGAGGTGCTGGCTTCGGTTACTTCAGTGATACAGAAGGATCGAAGACCAGTGAGCTGAAGGGCTGCGGGTTTGTGCTGGGAGGGCCGTTGCCTCTTAGACCTTGTGGTCTTTATCAAGGGGGGGTCAGTGAAGGAGGAGGAAGGGAGGGTGGGCTGCCCAAGCCAGTCCTAGCCTCAGGACTTTCCCTCGGGATACATTGGAGTTTTCAAAGCCCAGGAAGAGTTTGAGTGCAGAAAGGTGTTTCCTACCTGCCTCTTTGGAGCCTTTGCTCTGGGCAGCACTGTGGTGTCCTCAGGGGACCCATGGAGATCCAGATGACACTCCTCAGTGCCTGGATGCACAGTTTGCTGAGGGAGAAGAGCCTCAGGCATCATGGGTGGGGTGGGGGCTGAGCAGCTGTACTTCGAACAAGCTCCACAGCCAGGGTGGCAGGCAGCATGGACTCCCAGCTCTGACCGTGCGGACAGAGCGTTGGGGCAGCAAGAACAGGGCACCCTGGCTGTGAGAACCAAATGTAGGACAGTGGCATCATCTTGAAAGACAGGGGCCCAAGTCCCAGAAGGCTGACGAAGAGCCTGGGCGTTGAGGGCTGGGCCCTCGGGACTTGCAGGATTTGTTACTGGCCTGGCCCATGAAGGCGGGATAATGGGGCCTTTCCTGGACTCAGATTCCCCCTACGCAGACACCCATGGGGACACATGGTGTGGACAAGCCCAGCGCTCAGAGTCCTCCAGGAGGACGGTGGCAGGGATGTCAGTGAGAACTTCAGGGAGCGTTGGAAGTGGTCAGGTTCAGTGACTGTGCTCTGTCTTGGCCACAGAGTCCACTGAAGAGTCACAGTCGACTTGGACTCGGGAGACCTGAGTTCCTTGAAGTCCTCCCTAACTTGCTGAGGTGCTCTGTGTCCTCACTAGGAACCCAAGGGGTCAGATGGTGTCCCTGAGGTCCATTGCTGTGTTGCATGTGATGCCCTCTGACCCTGCAGGTGCGCATGGCCCTCCTGAGATTCCTGGAGGCGCTGGGGCAGCGTGACTACCTGAGCCTTCCCGAGGGCAGGGTGGTCATAGATTACCTCCTGAAGCTCAGCCAGTGGGACTCCTCGGTGAGCAGGGCCCAGCCCTGAGGGTGCCTGAGGCAGCAGAATGGCTGAGGGGAGGGGAGAGAGAAAGGGCAGGGTGCGGAGCAGAGCAGGGACAGGGGGCTGGGCCGGCAGGACTGGGGTCTGGGGACTTTGCCCTTCCCAAACCTGGTCAGTGGCCCCGGGAAACCTTGTCCCATGCAGGTCAGCGGGCATTGCTTCCAGATTTTAGTTCTTTTCTTCTTCCTCCAGAATGAAGCGGACATTGGACTCATGTCTTTGAAAGTCCTGCAGACGGTACAAATAGCTGGGGTCACACAGGCCTCTGCATTCCTCCTCTCCTGGCTCCCAGCCCACTCCTCTGTCCCCCAGACTGCCTTCTTCTCCCTGCCCTCCATCTCCCCCTTGTCCTCTCTCTTCCACTCCTGTCCACTTCCGTCTCTTCCCGCTCCAGGGCCTGGGCCTCCTCAAGAAGGGGTTCAGGGGAGTACATGATTGTCGCTGGGTGGTGAGTCTGGAGTTGGAGTCCCTCTGCCAGCGTCTGGCTGTGACTTCTTGAGCAAATTGCTCTATGGGCTGACTTTCCCCTTATGTACGAAAGGGGGATATGGTATGCCCTGTCTGCTCACAGCAGCCTCCAAGTGTCCCTGGGGGCCCTGGGAGCTGCTGTGCTATGGAGGGGGCAAGAGGCCAGGGAGGGCCCTGCTGGGAGGTCCTGTCCTCCCTGCAGGCAGCCACTTTCCCTCCCATGAAGCCCTGAGTCCTGACATCTCGTGTTTCTTCTGCCTATGGAATGTTCCCCAGTGAAGGCAATGACAAAGTCATACCATTCAAAATTTCAAGAAAGCCCTCTGTCTGATCAAGTCCTTCCTGGTGTTATTTTAATAAGGACCATGGTGACATTTTACCAAGATGGGGTGAGAGGAGAGAGAGGCAGGGTCAGAGACAGACAGCATAGGCCAGTCTGGGGAAGAGGCGGCTGCAGGCCTCATAGGTTCCTGCAAGACAAGAACCCAAGGTCATGGGGGTTGGAGGTCACGTGGTGGTATGAGTCAGGGCTGGCACTGACCTTCTGGCACATCCCCTCCCAGGTGTCCTTGCCCGTTCTTATCAGCATGCTATGTGAGCCCGGCAACACCTCAGCTTTCGTGGTCTTGAGTGACACAGCCACAGAGGTGGCTCTGAGGGAACAAGCGCTGGGGCAGCCCCCCTACCTCAGCAGCTTCTATGTCAGGAGTAAGTACAGGGAGGGGAGACCACGGTGGGGGGTTGGTCGACCACAGGCACTGGGGCTGCCCCAGGCATGGGAGGGGTAGGCCCAGGTGAATCCTGTGAGCATGAGGGTTTGGGTCTGTGCTGTGCTAAGGCTGGGAACCCCACTCCTCAGTCCTGTTTGCAAAGGGTTAGGGCCACAGCCCGAGCCCATTGGCCCTCAGCAGGGGAGGAAAGGAGCCTTCTTTGCAAGATAGCTGCCCCCCACAGGCCCTCTGGCCTTCCCATCTCATTTTGCAACCCTGGAGGCCAGGAGTGGTAATGATCATGTGCCGCAGTGGGTGTACACAGCATCCCCACCTTGGTGCCTCCGGTGCCCCACCTCTGGCCTCACTCTACACTCCCCACCCCTCACCTTTCATCCCAGTGGAGTAAGGGATGGGGTGAGGGTGTCCGCTCCACACTGAGTGGGTGATGGTTTATTCTGTCAGCTGGAATTGCAGTGTTTGTGCTTCAGGCTGAGTGGCAATGTCCGGGTCTCAAGGCTCACCTTCTCCACGGTGCCTGTGCCCCTCCCCTGCCCTGCAGAGGGTGGGCTGCTGGCTGGGAATGGAGGTGGGACCCCTGGAGCTTACATTGACGCTGTCCTCTTCCTTCATCACCTCTTTGATGTAGCGCCTGAGTTCGTCTCCCCACAGCACCTGCTGAGCCATCTGGTGGTAAGTGATGCCAGGATGGACATCTCCCGCTGTCTACCTGTCTACCGGATTGTTCCACAGTAGCTGCATCCTGCGCTGTCCCAGCCATTGCCCTGGGGATAGAATAAGGAGCTGGGGCCAGGGATCCTGGAGGCCCTGGGCAGGGGCAGCCCAGGCTACAGGGCTTGGAGGGGGCACTGGGCACAGGTGCTGGGGCCCGCGGAACCTGAGAGATGGCAGATGGGGAAAGCCCAGCCATCTCCGTTGCGTCCTCCTTGTGAGCTTCTGTCTGTGAACTTGGGCCAATCCCCGTGCCTTTCC